AAACGGTCCTCCAGAGAGGCAGGCGATGGTCGTCCGAGTGGCAAGAATAGAGTAGAATTTAGAATGGGATGGGATGGGATGGAAAATAGAATAAAATGGAATGGAATGGAATTAGGGATAGAATGGAATAGAGAATAGAATAGAGAATAGAATAGAATAAAGAATGGAATGGAATTAGAATAGAATAGGAATAGAATTTAGAATGGAAGGGAAAGGGAAGAGAAGCGGAGAGGAGAAGAAAGAAGAAATAATAGGAAATAAGAATAGAATAAGAAAGAATAGAATAGAATAGAATAGAATAGAATAGAATAGAATAGAATAAAGAATGGAATGGAATGGAATGGAATGGAATGGAATGGAATAGAATATAGAATAGAAGCAAATAGAAGAGAAGAGAATGTAGAAGAGAAGAGAATGTAGAATAGAATAGGATAGGATAGGATAGGATAGGATAAAGAATGGAATGGAATAGGAATAGAATAGGAATAGAATAGGAATAGAATTTAGAATGGAAGGGAGGGGGAAGAGAAGCAAGAGAGAAGAAGAAATAATAGGGAATAATAGAATAAGAAAGAAGAATAGAATGGAAGTAGAAATAAGAATAGAATAGAATATAGGATATAGGAAATAAGAATAGAATAAGAAATAAGAATAGAATAGAATTAGAAATAAGGAATAGAATAAGATATAGGAAATAATAGGTAATAGGAAATAAGAATGGAATAGGAAATAAGAATAGAATAAGAAATTAGAATAGAATATAGAGTAGAATAAAATAGATAATGGAATGAAGAGTAGAATAGAATAGAACAGAACAGAACGGAACAGAATAGAACTCTTTATTGGCCATGTGTGATTGCACACACTACACCAATTTGTCTTTGGTGCATATATGTTCTCAGTGTACCTAAAAGAAAAAATAAAATACATTCTTTAAGAATCATAAGATACAACACGTAGTGATAGTCACCGGTTACTAATAAGCAATCAGATCATACTAGGAAACCAATAAAACACTATAAATTGTAAAGATACAAGCAACACGGTTATAGTCCTATGTGGGAAGAGATAGGTGATAGGAAGGATGAGAAGAATAACAGTAATGCAGTCTTAGTAAAGTGTCGTGGGAATTATTTGTTTAGCCCAGTGATGGCGTTCGGGGAAAAAACTCCCCTTGTGCCTAGTTGTTCTGGGGTGCAGGGCTCTATAGCGTCGTTTTGAGGGTGGGAGTTGAAACAGTTTGTGTCCGGGATGTGTGAGGGGTGTGTAGATATTTCCACAGCCCTCTTTTTTGACTTGTGTAGGATACAGGCCCTGCATGGAAGGAAGGTTGGTAGCCATTATTGTTTTTCCTGCAGTTCTAGCTATCTGTTGAAGTCTGTGTCGGAGTATTTAGTGTATTTAGAGTGTATGAGGAGGCCACTGAGCATGCCTGAGAAAATTAGGAGGGACCCGCAGACAGAGAAGCATCGAGATGGTTGGCAAGAGGGGAAGGAGTCAAACAGGGAAGGAGTCTGGAATCCTTACGTAGACACAAAAGTCCCTGGAATGCTGTGGAGCTTTATCTGGACTGGTCCAAATGCAAACGGCCAGTCTGGGAAGATTCTCGTACAGGTTAGTCTTCGAGTTACAAAGTTCCAACGGCACTGGAAAAAAACGGACTTACGGCCGTTTTTCATGCTTACGACCATGGCAGCATCCCCGCGGTCCCATGATCAAAATCCTGACACTTGGGCAACTGACTCGTACTTATGACGGTCGCAGCATCCCCGGGGGGGGGGAATCAATGTGATCCCCTTTTGCGACCGTCTGACCAGCAAACTCCATGAGGGAAGCCGGATTCGCTTAACGACCGTGTTCCTAACATGACAACCGTACTGATTCCGCTTAGCAACGGTGGCCAGAAAGGCGAGACTCAACTTCACAACGGTCTCACTTAGCAACAGACGTTACAGGGCTCGGCTGTGGTCGTAAGTCGAGGACCACCTGTATTCTGTGGTTCTGAATAGATCCTCGAGTTTCAGTGGCATTGGATCTGAGGGTTGGATGCTGGACCCAAGAAGGAGAGAGAGAGAGAGAGAGAGAGAGAGAGAGAGAGAGAGACCTTCCTTTCTCCTTTGCTCACCCACAGCAGTCGTTAAGTGAGTCTTGCCCCTTCCATTCCACGACCTTCCTTGCCAGAGTTATTAGGTGAACCACTGCAGTTGAAACGGCGGACGTGTCCGAAACGGCATGGGAGTGGGGGGTTTTCCTGCTTGAGCGGGTGGGGGGGTTGGACTAGATGACCTCCAAGTCCCTTCCAACGCTGTGGTTCTGTTCTGTTATTCCTTGACTCCATCATACGTTCTCAGAAATGGGTCTTTTCCGATACCCACATCAGCCTTGCTGGTTTGGGGGTGACTCACCCAGCTTGGCTGTTCTGGAACTTTCTTGCAGACGCGCCACCCCCCCCCCCCCCCC